AATGAGTCAGGATTGAGGAAACCTATAGTGGTGGTGGGAGAAAATAAATTTTAATGAGTCATTGAAATTACAACCATGTAAATCAATGTTTGGTATTGCACCATCCATGCAGTTCTACAAAAAGCAGGCACTTTAAGTATGTCCATTCCTGAATCTGAATTATTGCTACATGTTCCATGAATTCTATGGCTGTTATCAAAAATAAAAAAATTGAAGAAAAAAAAAAAGTCAAAGAAGAATTTTGAAGAAAGGTGTTTCTCTACTCAGACTAATAAAGGTTGGGACAACTTATATATAATGTTGGATATTGTTTTATTTGGAGTTGTATTTTCTATTGTCTAGGTATTCTGGACATCTTTGGTTTTGAACATTTTGAGAAGAACAGCTTTGAACAAGCATGCATCAATCTGGCGAACGAACAGCTGCAGTTTTTCTTCAATCAGGTATTAGCAGAAAAAAACTACCTGTAGCTATCTAAAAGTTCTAGAATTTTCACAGCTTTAACTTAACACTAAGGTGTTCAGGTAGACAACGGTGGTTGGTGTTATCGTCTGTAACTAATATTCACAGCCTGGGTTTTATTATCTGATCGTGAAAAGTTATCAGGGGTCACCTACCAGACCACCTGGGTTATCTCGGGATCCTTTGGTTTGAGATTATATTAGAAAAGTTTAAAGATGGGTGCCTAGGGAGACACTGCCTAAAGGAAAGATTTGAGAAGTGAGAGAAGAAGACCTATGGATGGTTACTGGTAAAATGGAACGAGGCAGCAGACCAATTTTAGTTTCTTCCAAGACCCCTTAATTCATAGGAGGCAGGAAAAAAACTTTGATCCTGCACAGCGACCCACATTAGTCTCCTCTTATTATGACATATGAGCACATAGTTGCAGGAAGGCTATTCTTTCCCAGCATCCTGCACAACCAGATTTAAAAACCTCATGCACTCTACCCTCTGAGCCAACAAGAAAGAATAATATAAGCTGACAAATTAAAATTGTTTTATAATTGATGTAAAATCAATGTATGATAAATAATTTCAACATTACTAATTGTACTCACAATCAGGCAGAATACAGCTTACAGCATGTATTTGTTATCTTACAGCATGTATTTATTATCTTACAGCATGTATTCATTATCTTACAGCATGTATCTATTATCTTTCAGCATGTATTTATTATCTTTCAGCATGTATTTTATATCATGTATTTATTATCTTACAGCATGTGTTCAAACTGGAGCAGGATGAGTATACAAAGGAGGGTATCGACTGGACGGAGATCAAATTCGTGGATAATCAACCTCTCCTGGTATGTTCTAACTACGTACAACAGAAATTTACCATATGTCATGATATTTTTAGAACGTTGTCAACGGTTAGCTGGTTTAACCGATTAACTGGTTATTAGGTCGGAAGACCGTGAACACATTACCAAAATTCAATAACCAGATAGTCTGATATTCATTCACCCCATGGGAAACCCCATGTTTACCTGGCTTAGACTTACAAATTATCTATTGATGGGACCGAAATAGGATTTTTGGTAATTAAAAAATGATATTCAGACTAGTGTTCAGCGGATATTGTTTTCATACTCAAAAGTAAAGATTTGACAACAAGATCCTGACCACACCATAAAAAGCCAAGACAGATTTTAAAAGTATGCTCGAATACAAAGTTGTGAAAAGACAATTTTGCGAGGTTCAAACTGTGCTTGCTTATTATCTGAAGAATGAGAATTGATATTTATCAAGTAAAAATATGTTTTCAGTAGAACATTTGCTAAACAAAGGATGTATTTGCTGTTTTTTGATCATTTGATTTGATTTCCGAATTGACAGATTAACTCAGGTTGCTCGGACAAGATTTTTTGAGTAACCGGTTACAAAAATCCTTCAGTTTGACAACCCTTTTTTCTAGTTTCTAAGTCAATGGATAATATGATTCCTAGTTCTGTGACTTTTGCTTATTCCATTATCTAATTTAAGTTATATTTCAATCTCAGGTTGATATATAGAAGACCTATGAGTGTAAAATGTTAAGATTTTGTTTTCTCTAGAATTTGTTCCTGAACAAACCCATTGGAATCCTATCACTGCTGGATGAAGAGACCAACTTCCCAAAGGTAAGAAAAGAAATGTTCTTTTTCTTGTTTGAATACTCCAAATTATAATCAGGGAACATTCAGACATTGGATTTTCATAACTATAAATTACAATATTTTGAATGAATATTAAAAAAAAATGCCTTCAATATTAATATCAAGATATTGATTGCTGAAAGAGAAAAAAAA